GCAATTAAATGTTAAATTGCAATCAGATTTGTGTACATAAAGTGACAAAATAGTTTGAAGCCTAATTTTAACTGGTCTCTAAGGATGTACTATGAATCCAAACTTTAATTCTTGAAAACAGGACTTCTAGCCTCAAGTTAGACATATTTAATAGACTTAGAATTATTAATTAATAATTAATTAATAAGTCTTCAATAAGACTTAATTCTGCCCCCATTCTGTCCCCTCCCCTGTGCACTCTCTGATCCCACAGAGGTTGTGTTTGTGAAGCTGAATTAACAGGAATCAATTCACTGTTTTTTCACCTTCCCCTCCAAGACTCACTATTTTTCTGCAAGTCAGTTCAAGGTATCAGACTGACTCCTGGAAGAGCAAGAAAATACACAGAGAAGAGTAAGATAACTAATAATTGCAGTAATTTACGTTCATTGTCAAAGTGAATGATGAGAGATCAAGGACAAAACTACTTTAAATTAGAACAAAACCAGGCCCAGCATAGGGCTTTCAAGCATAGATCCACTGTTCTAACAGCAACCTGAGAGACAAGAACACCTGAAGCTCATTTCTACAAACACTGCTTTGACTGCGTGTTTCTATGGCCTCTTCCCAGCATGAAGTTCACCTGCTTTCCTGGTATAACTTTTGAGGCTGTTACAGAGGCTCCAGTGTATAAATAATAATTAACTTCTGAAAGCAGAGGCTTACAAATGGTATTATTTGATTTGCAATACATTTCACTCAATTTTTATTCTGCGCAGAGAATTCTTAAGGAGAATGCTGACAAACAAGCAGCATAAGGTCTATGTATTATCAAAATTTAAAACACATGCTGCACACACAGAATGTCAAAAGAATATGTTAATCAAGTGCAAGCAAGCCAGCTTGATCAGCTCTTCTCTGTGATGGTACAAAGCTGGGGAAGTTGCCAATAGAAGAGTTACTCTGGCTCCCTGTAACCACAGAGGATTTATCCAAACACATTAAAAAAAGCATATACATGTACTCTTCAAACTCACACACTTCTCATATTCTGGTGAATCCATGCTGGTTATTCAGAAAACAATGTAAAACTTTAATTCTGTTTCACTGTAGGGCATTCAAACTGTAACCCCCAAGCCATGAGAGAGCAAGGAGGAAACAAACTGACGATAAGCTATAGCTCCATGCAGAGCTTACCAAAACATATCCAGAGCAGTCTTTAAAATACCCTTCATTAATGACAGTTCATATCTTATTCCTCTCCTCTCTTGCTTTGGCAGGAAACAATAGGAATTAAAACACGTATTAGTTTATAAGGACTAGATTCTTAATTTAAATAATTTGAACGAGTTTCTTTCACTTGCAGCAACTGAAAGTGTAGAGTTTTGTTTCCTATTTGAATTCAGTTTCTCTCATTCAAGCAAGAAGCAGATCCTAAGTTTGCATTTCCTTTGCCACATTTCTAATATTTGGGTCATCTGCAGTTAAAGGTGTTTGATCACTGATGAGCAATTTCACTTTATAAAGTGAAAACACAAAACCTTTCCTAGGTTTCAAATGCTTAACTCTTTGAAAAACCCCAAAAGCTGACTATAAATAATATTCATAGTTACCCCTGGTTTCAGTTCACAATCATTCATTTGTTTGGTCTAGGGTTGTTTTTTCATTTGTTCACTGTTTCACTGAACAAAGGAATCTCAGATTAATAGAGGCTTAGACCCGAATGAGAATTTGTGGATGCCATTACTGTACAGCAGCAGAGATGTATGTCACAAGTGTGATTCCCTTTGATAGCACTTTACAGCACAAAGTTACAGACACAGTGGCACATAAAGTGCACCCAGCACAGACAGACACCTGTCAGAGGCAATTCCCTCTACTGCACGTTCATTCTGGGAGTAAATGAAAATGGATGGGATGGCATTTTTATACAAATACCATGGGGAAACCTTGTTCTGCTGAAGCTAGGCATGTTCTGTGCCATCTAACAGCAGAATTCATTTAAATTTATAAATTCACTGCAAAGCTAATATGTTCGGGTTGGAGGGTGGGGGGAAATTGTGGGGGGTTTTTTGTTTGGTTTTGTGAGTTTTTCCCTCCAAAGGGTGAATAATGAGCAGTAACATAGCAGGCAGGTCACTGCCTTTTCACATTCATTTGTATCATATTTATAATGTGCCTCTTAGAGCAGCATTTGCTCCTTTTAATCAAGTTCTCCTATTGTAAGTGTTCATTTCTATGGGCATAATTTAATTTTTGCTAAAATTCTTTTTTTTCCCCATTGGAATGATTTTCTGTGCAGAAACTGGTTTTGCTGACAGTTACTCTTTTCACAGGAGTTCCTTTAAGTTGACTCTAGTGAGTTACTGCTTATCCCCCTGACCTGTGGCACGGATTGGGAAAAGCTGCACAAAGAAGCACAGAGAATACTAAAATGATGTGATCAGCCAGTTTTACTGCATAAATCCATTTCAGACCTCAAATGTCTCACTCTGTTAATATAAACTGTGCACAAAGGGAGGCATAAAAACTTCTTCAGCAATTCAGACCTTAAATGTTACTAGTACAGGGAATTTCAACTGGCAAATTTCCAAGCAGGAAAACCACTGCAAAGAGAGACTCTTATAAGGGGACTGGTGCTTTGAGCATTACCATTGCATTTCTTTAAACAGTGCTGCTTTCACTAGCACTGTAATTGCTTCTTCTATTTGAATAACTGCCAGAAAGTTCTCTATACCAATAAACTCCACTGTCAATGGCAGATTTATATTACTCTTGATAACAGCTTTAAAAAAAACCCACAATTTATTCATAAAAAAATTTCAATCAATACATCCAGAATTTATATTCAGAAGGCATCCTTGCTTTTAAACAAATAATTTCATCATAACCTACTTCTCAGTAAAACGACAATAAGTTTTCACATTATATTACAGGAGCAATGGCTATTCAGTTCTAAATAATGGCTCCTTTGCTAGACAAGTCAATGGAAATTGATTTGTTTCAGCCTCCTGTGCTTATACACACAAAGCCTGTGTACAACAACCCTATTGACTCCAGCAAACAGTATTCAACCTTGCGTCCTCAAGGACTCATGGCAAAATTTTAAGTCATTCCCCATCCTGTATTGTACTCTTTATGGAACAAGACTTCATTTAAATGTCAGTCTCCAGCAATAATGCTATAAAGAAAAAATTGGTCACAGAATTGAAGATCTACTTTGTATTGAAACATACAGCACAGAGTTGGATATAAGAATGAAGAAAATTAAGCTGCATTGAACTTCAAAATTAAAAGCATTGACTATACATACAGTAAAAGGAAACAGACTCCAGCACCCTGTCTGCATGAGAGAGTTTTGGCACACAAGCCATCCTAAGGGCAAGCCAGGCTGCCTGCCATAAACCTCTGATCTGCACACAAAGCGCTCTGCATGGCACACAGGCCTTTTCCAGTCTTGTGTATACTGGACCTTTTCTCTCTTTTATAAACAAGAGCATTTAAAAACAATTAAAATGAAGATTAGGGATATTAGTACGGTAGGAGCATCAGAGACAAGAGACCATATGGCCCATCAAAATCTGTGTTTATAAGCATTGGAAATACAAATCAAGCATATTCCCATCCTTTTAATCTATTTTTTCCTATTTAAATCTGATTATCAACTTTACCCCTCCATATCCAAAAGTAAATGCCACATCTTACATTTCAAACACATCCATAAACAATGACAATTGTGAAAAGCCCATAACTGAATGTCTTCAAGGCTGATGCCTGACCTCAAGTTCTGAGCTAGTCACCATCTCACATAATGTATTGGTTCCTACTTTTTCCATTTGCTTTTGACTTTTTATATAACATTTAAGAGAGCACCTTTGGCATCTGAGAGATTGCACAACACGACAGCAGCTTTCTTCATGCACATCATGGCAATATTTTCACTTACATTTCACACAAGGCAAAGAATGTTGTGACTGTTCCCCAGCAATTACTCTGAAGTATTAAGATGAAAAGTTATTTATGTGATAAAAACCTCTGAAGTGAGCACTTGAATATGTTTTATGTTGGCTAACCTTCACCAAAAGGGATAACCAGGTTATTTTTGTGTTCTTTCTCCTATTATACCAGTGTGAATAGCACATAGTTCACTGAGCTAAGTGATCAAACTAAAATCTGAAGCTTGGCAGAAATCAGTCCAGTTCTATTCCTTAGGCTTGTTTGCTGGATTTTATTTTATAAACAGGAAAGGATTTGCCATGCATGGGTGGTACAGAGCACACCATGGCATTGGTGAGGTCTTCCTAAGACTTTATCACACTTGAGAATGAGTAACAGTAGAAAACAAAAATGAAAAGCTGATGAAAACACTTTGCTTTATTTGAAAAGATGTTCAAAGTGTTTAAATGAAATCTCATTAGCACAGTTTATCTACATTCCTTATAATGAAAGAGATATTTGAATTTCTATACACAAATTTGAATGTTGGTTTTAGGATTGGGGTTTCTTCTGTCCACTAAGTATCACTTGAGGCGTTTTCTCCTCAAACAAAAAATTCTTATATCATCATATCAGATATATTAACATTTTGCTTCACTATTTATCCTGTTTACTGCTGTGTTTTAAAACTCATTTCTTCACCCACATTACAGAAGCATCTATTTGCTTCTCTCAAAGATAGCCTTAGAACTATTTAAAATTACTCTTTCCCTTTTCTGATCTAACCTTGCCATTCCTGTCAATCACTTCTTGATTTCTTCATTAGGACAAGAAATATTCTCTTTTGAGTGATCACCTGAAATAATATGCTCATCAACTGAAAACACAGTATGAAAAAAAAATATCTGACTATAAATCACCAATACCACAAAAACCTTTCATATACCAGAAATGCTATTTCCAGCACTGAGTGAGAGGATTTAAAGACACCCATCTACAGTTTGGGGGGTTATGTTCAACAAGGAAAGAGTAGGATTTAACAGCAAAAGTTGATTATAAAGGAAAAAAAGAAAGAATTTGTTTACCTGACTAAGAACAGATCTGCCATCAGTATATCATTGGGACACACATCAGAAAAGAAGCAACATCCTATACAGTAGACATGAACCGAGAAGCAAAAGCATTCTTGTTAAAAGTTGACATGGTGCCGGAGTCCCAGGCTAGCCCGCTGCCAGCACGGCACCACGCCAAGAGCGGGATGACCTGCAGTGCAGCTCAGAGCTATCGCCCTATGGCATGTTATAGCAGTCAGCGCTGAGTGTGGAGGCAAGGATTGAGGAGGAGGCTCTTGGTATGGATTCCAGGAACAGGTTTATCACCTGAAGGGGTCAGGCACAAAGAGCAGAAATCGTACCTGTGCAGGGGATTATATACAGGGGTGGTTCAGGGAGCGGTTACAAATTCTTGACCAATAGGGAAAACTCAGGGGAGGGATTCACAGAGTTCCAACAAATGTGGAACCACAAGGAGGGGACACAAACTGACAAGCAGGTGAACAATCCACTGGGATGTCATAGTTTAGGGGCATTCCAAAGGGGAGATCCAAGCCGGGGTTTGGTACAAGGGAGGATTGATGGGAACTCATTGGAACAGAGACAGGGATTGATTGACACTCAAGAGGCAAGGCATAATACAGGATTGACACCCCAGGGGGAGGGACAGGATATTCTGGGTGAGGAGGCAGGGGTGTAACAGGGGAGGTACCAGTCACCTGCCAATTGAATTAGGGAAAACCAACTGAGCTCAGGGGTGACAGAGCATAGCAACAGAACATAATATTTACAACACAAAAACACGGATGCACTGCAACAAAAAGTTAGTAGAAGATTCTGCATCACCAGAGAAACAAGGGAGCAGTAAGGATACAAAAAAATATTTTCTAATTATTTCCTTTTAAAACTGAGGCTTGATCATCTTAAGAAAATATACACCCTTGTAATAGCAGGGGATTTGACATGGACATGGTGATCAAGAAATCCTTACCCAGTGTTAATATGATGGCAATATGTTCAGTACAAACATGAGGCTTGTGTAGCCAAACTAGATTATCCTGTTTGGTGTGGAGTATTTACAAGAAAAAACAGTTCAAGAAAAATAAAAGCTGTATATTTGTAAGGATGAAAGCCTTCTGCTCAGGAGGAAATAACTACTGACTACTTTCAGAAGAAAATGAGAGAGAGCAAAAGAGAGAGAGTTGTTATTGCCAGTGTGCTGGATGAGTTTCTGAGCACTCCAGCTCTGACACAGCTGGTGGCAGCCAGTTCTGAGGGGCAGGTGTAGGACATGGTTTGCTCTACCACAAAAAGGGCTACATTTGAGAGGGATCCCCAACAAGAACATGACACTTCTGAAAACAGAAACTGTCTCCCAAAGGTTCTGACTAAGCTGTGACAGGTTTCATGCTAGTCCTTCAGCACTGCTCTTTCACCAGTGCAGCTAAGAAAAACTTAGGACAAGCAAAAAAGTCAGAAACATGGCTCAAAAGTCCTTGATTCAGTACACCTCTTGTAGGAAAGCCCTGGATAAAGTGAATTCTATCTGTATTCAAAAGAAAAACCAAAAAATGAAAAATTCTCAGCTGCGCTACTTCACAAAGTATCCTGAAAAATGACTGAAGGCTAAGAGCAAATAATCTTGATCTCACTCAACTCAAATAATCAAACTCCCATTAACTTCCAGTAGACAAGACTCAACCTAAGAATCTTAGGAAGAGATAGTGAAGGAGAAACAGCAAAATATGGGCATAGCAGAAACACAAAAGCTAGGTCCTAAGGCCCTAACATGGTATCGCTGTCCTACATAGAACTTCAGGAAATCTGTAAATAACTATATAGTTATATAGTAAATAACCATAACTATCACAACTTCCTTCATCTATCTTTCTGGTGCTTGGATTGGGATTTTTTTTACCATTAGGAGTTCAGAGGAATAAAATTCTGTCTACAACAGCTGTGAAAGAAGTGGCATTCAATCCTGAATCTTGTATCTGCAACCCATCTCCTTGTGGACCAACAAAACTATTTCACAGAATCATTTGCCATTGTCTATCATTTTTAAGAGTTCAGTACCTGAAAGCTGCAGCAGAGATTTTCCCTAGTGTCTCAACATTTAGCATTTCATGAAATCAACTTAAATTTATAAAATAAATATTCAGTCCTTGAGTTGGCAAGAGAAAGATTGAGACAACTGTAACTGTAAAAGGACCTCAATGTAGAAAATAAGTGTGAATAAACTCACTTAAAAGACATAGGAAAGTGTATGTTTGATTATGCAGAGCAGACTCAAATCTTAGCTTGGGTAGCGCTGTGCCAAACTGGAGTGGAGCATGGGGGGTACAGCAAGAAATAAATCACACTCACATGTATGAAACCAGGCAGAGCAGGTGAACAGAAATTGGTTAATTAACAGCATGAATATTAACAAGATCAATGGTGAAATCTAAAACTGCAACTGACAGTAATAAGTGGGAAAAATAATAATATTCAAATGCACCTAAGCTTAATTTTCTTTCCTTCTTTTCTGTAGTGAAAGATAACAAACCTTTAAATTAATTTTAATCAAGTGTCACAAACTGAGCAATGTGTGAGCCTTAAGAAGAGGCAGGCAGCTTCTTCATAGCAGCTGCTCTGGGCCATTATGCTTGCTTATTATTTAAAACCCAATGTTAGAATTCAGGGCACAGCACAGTTTATCAGTCCAAGGTAAGCAACAGGAGACACCCCTTGATCCTAGGACATGATGAACAAACAGTGAAAATGTTACTTCCCTCATTCCCTGGGTATTTTGGCAGTGTGACATGAAAAGGTGCCTTGCCATTTCATCCTGATAACACACAGGCCTCCAGAGGGGAATATCTGGATGCTAATATTCAAATACTCGTGAGGAACATAACATTTATATTGGATGGTCAGGACCAAAACACTGCCAATTTACACTTTGTAGAGTTCTCAACAAAAAATGCAACCCAGTGCTCTAAAAACATGAACCCTACATTCCCAATGAATTCATGGAACATTCCACCAGCATTTTCATTTCACATCTCACGTTTCTGGTGTTGATAAATGAAATACAAACAGCACTAGCAATAAAGGACTTAACAACCCAGTCACCAAAAAACAACCCCAAAAAATAAAAAAAACCCAGCCTTTTCTTTTCCTCCGCTTTGTCACTGTTTTGCAATTTAACATTTACCATGAATTAATTACTGGAAGTCTCCATTAAGACTCTTAACATTTAGAGTGAAAGGTCAGCATAAACTTAGGGTCACTGTTTACGGTGCTCCCTGAGCAAGCAGTCTTATTGCTTGTAAGTAAGCATGAATGTTAAAAGGTACAAGGCAAGTATAACAAGGAAATGAAATACAGAACTCTAAAAATATCCTCCTGATCTATGCATGTAGTGTAGTGTCTGACAAATTCAATTAAATATGTCATACATCATTCGCACAATGTTACTGATAGAGACATAACAGTATTGAATTTTAATTATTCAGCTGGTATTGATCCCACAATAATCTGGTGAAAATCATTCCAGGTTGTCAGTACCCCTAGGAGACAACAGCTATTATCTAATTATAAATCACACTGTGTCATTTGACAAAAGGTTACAGCTTTCTTTTTACACATTTTTGCAGCCAGATTCTCATGTATAAATCAGAGTGACATGATCGTCTGCAAATGCTAATTATTTTCTTCCCATTGAGCATCTATTCCATTACCATGATGGACTCATAAAAGCAAGCTCTTCGTGCATGTAGCAAATTCCCACAACAATGATAAAGGAATTGGGATTTCAGATTTTTATTCCATACTGACCTTGAGCAAGCAATTGTAACGCTCGCAGGGCTTGCATTTCCTCCAAGGAGAAGAGTGGGACAATATTTGCAGTGCCCACTCTTGTTAAACACTTTCAGACCCTCAGAAGAAAGCTGCTGAGCAGCAGGAAACTTTCCTTTTCAGCTTACATGGAGACAAGGAGGCTGGCTAATAATCCCACAGTGTTCTCATCCAGAAATCTAGATTTCCCTCTGCACTGCACTGCCATCATCAGGGAACTGGGTGGCTGACGCTATCCATCTGTTTTCTTTCCCCACTTCAGATGCTCACCTTTTATCAAAACTGGGGCCCAGAGGAGGTGGGGCACATTCCCAAATCATGGAGTCAGTCCTAGCAAACAGCTTTTTCCTCTGATGGCAGTTGGCTTTTGGCTCAAGCACCCTCCACTGACCAACAGCAGTGGCACAACCACACAGAAAGCCCTGCTCTGTTGAGAGCCAAGGCAGCCAGTGCAGCTCCCCAGGAAAGGCAGGCAGAGGGAATCTTTATGGGAAATTCAATAGCCTCTGAGAGATGCTATCCCCACAGGGTACGTAATGTATAAGGAAAGAAGGTGATAAAAGTGCCTGATCATTGCTCCCTAAAATACAATGACTTAAACAACTGAGCTGACGGTCTGTAATAAACACACTGTTCAGTGCCATTCTGGGACTCCCTTTTTTTCTCACACATGCCTTGAACTTTATGATACAGAAATAAGGATAAAATAAATGATCAGTGACAAATGGCCTAAACCGAGAACATGAAATCTGAAAGGGGAGGTTAAATATTTGGAAAACTGTAAATGTCTTCTTTTAGATTTGAATTTTATCTGATTTGAAAATGTCACTATTGAGTCATGGACAATTTGGAGACTAAAGAAAAATCAGGTTCAAATGAGAAGCATACACATGAAAGCCATCACTTGGCACTCATTGCAGTCTGCAAGCCCTGGGTGGGCTTTGGGACTCACTTTATTCTGTAAGACATTTTCACTCTTGCACCCAAGACCTGCAATATTGTGACATTTTCTGCAGTTCATGGATTTCAGAGACTCTGCAGGGAGAGTAACTACAGTCCTTCATTGCCTTGCAAACCCCTGAAATGAAGGATCTCTCAGAAAAGGAAAGACATATTATTAGCAACAGCTAGATCAGTACCTAGCCTGTCCACTTTTGCAGGAGTGAGAGACTGCCAGGACATGCATGTTATTACCAGAGACCTTTAACAATACAATAGATTTCAGGTACTTGGTGGCTTAAGTTCTAGTTTGAAAGAAGAATTGCCATGGAATAACCCCAAGACTTCCTTTCATTTCATTTCACAGAAAGCAAAAAATATTAGGTAGCATTAAAAGCTCCTCTAGCTAACCTTTGCAAACTCTCTCTTAGTACATATAGGTGAAGTCAGGACTGTGTTCACTCCCAATTACTTATTCACTCTTCATTTTCATTCTTTTAATTACCCCAAAACTCTCCCACATAAAGAAATTCAACAAGACACTGCCAAAAAGAGAAAATCCCCAGCATTTAGAAAAATCCCCTTAAGCTGCCACACAATTCCTAGTCACTTTCCATTCTCGAGTCAAGTTCACCTCGGCTATCTAAAATAAAAAGCTACCTTGCTTCTTTTTAAACAGTTTTTTTT